CCGGGGCAGGGCCGCCGGGGACGACCCAGCGCGGGCCCAGGCGGGGGGCGGGGGCTGGGCTCCGGGGGCGGCGAGGGAAAGCTGGGGGAGGGGGCCAGCTCGGGCGGCTTCCCGGGGGTCCGCCTGCCCCGAGGGGCGCAGGATCGACGAGAGGAGGCGGGGGGCGATCGGGGCGCAGCCCGCACTCACCTCCGGGTGGAAGGCGGCGGCGCAGGAGTCGGAGTCCATGTTCCGGGTGGGGGGCGGCGGCTGCGGGGGGTGCAGAGGCCCGGCCGCGGCCGTGGGGCCGCTCGCGGCCGTGGGCTCCGGCGACCGCGCAGGGCGAGGGGGGACCCGGGAGGAGTCGCCCCAGGAGGAGTCGCCCCGGCAGGAGGTGACGGGGGGCTCGACGTGTCGTGCCCCGGACTAGGTCATCACGGACCGGCGGCACCACGACCAAGCAGAGTGGGCGCAGCTGCCGCGGCGGCCGGGGAGGCGGGGGAGGGGCGGCGGGGGGCGGCGGCGGCGGCGGCGAGCGGGAACCCGACCGGCTCCCCGACCTGACGCCCAGTTCGGCTCGTGTCTCGGGAGGGAGGGCGGGAGTGCCGCGAGGCTTGCCGGGAAGTGTAGTCCGGGCGCCGCGGCGGGGGCGTGTCGCTGGCGGCGCGGGGCACTGTGGGAGTCGTAGTCCGTGTAGCGACTCCGCGGCGCGCAGAGGCCGCCGGGGGACTCCACGCCCCATGGGGCTGCGCGGCTGCCGCCGATGCGCGGGCGGAGCAGGGCGGGGGCGGGGACGGGCGTCGCGGGCCGGTGGGGGAGGGGCGGCGACGGGGGGCGGCCCTTCCTCCGCAGGACTCAGGGTGGCCCCGGGGGGCGGGGGTCCCGGGCGCGGCGGGGCGACCCGGGCCGCTGCGGCCGTCGGGTGGAGCCCGCCGATTCAGGACGGCGGGGCGGGACTCCTGCGGGGCCGGCTAGCACAGTGAAGCCGGCGGAACTCCGCGGACGCGTCCCTGGCGCTCGGGGGCTCGCGAGGCGCGCTTTGTGCTTTGCCCTTCGCGCTGCCTGGGGCCGCGGCCTCCTCGCCCTCCCGGCTCGTGTTCCTGCCGGGAGGACCGGCGCGGGGCCCGGCTGGACGCTGCCCTTCGCGGCACTGGCCGGGCTGCCGGAGCAGCGGGCGATGTCCGGGACCGACCGCGGGGTGCTGGACAACTTTGGATATTGAAGGTTGACTTCGTGGACTGCCCTGGTGAAATGACCAGGAGCAGGCCTGGCGTTCTGTAGCACTAAAGATCGTAGAAAGGAAAAGTGTTTATATACAAAATGCAGATGAGCCCCTAACGTCATGTTTAGTAGATTCGAAGACGAACTGTTAAAAGGGAATGACATAAAAATTTTAATCCAAATCAGAAAAGGAACTCCTCAGCGCACTAGGAAGATGAGATTATTTGAGAGGGCGTGTGTGCTGTACCTATGGCTATTGCTAATTCTGTGGTTAAAATGATTCTAATGGAAACATTTGGTGATTAAGAGAATGGGCTTGCTTTAGAAATACGTCTAGCCTCAATTTCCTAAGCCATAAATTTTATAGCATAGTGCCTGGTTCAGTAAATGGTAGCTTACTCTTATTGTTGTTGTTTTATTATCTGTGCAGTATGGCAGCCCTTAGGAGGGCTCCCCAGAGGTGATAAACTGAGGCGCTTTACAGGATGATACGCAGATAAATTACTAAGATGAAAAGGAGGACTGGGCACTTAGCCTGTCTCCTCAACAACTTATAGAGTTGTCTTATGTAGATGATTTGACCACAGACTTAATATGCTATCTGATTTCTATGGCCAAAGCCAATGTCCTGAGGTTAGCCAGTATTGCCCAAAGGCACCAGGAGCAACTTGTTTTGCCTGAATAAAAAAGGACTTTGAAGATATTATCCTTTTGGTAGCTTAAAAGATACACCAAGAAAAATAATTATTACAGTGAAATCCAAATGAAACATGAGAATTATTTTTTTGTTTTGTTATACCTGATTTATTCCCTGTGGTAAATATTACACATAATAAGCATTATGTCTTATACAACACAGGTCAAGAAACCATCTGGGATGTGGCAAGGTAGTAGAGCTTCTACCTGTCATGCTGGGGTGCCTGGATTCAATCCCCAGCACCTTAAAAAAACCTGAAGATAGAATGCAGGGCTCTATAGAGGACCCCCTGGGTTGCCACAAGGAAGGAAAACCCCAGATCCAAGTGATAACCCCTCCTACTCAACACTTTAATGCAATAGGTATTTCTTGAATTTGGTCCTTGGTAAACAGTAATTATTGTTGTTTGCAGTACCCAGTACATGCTAGCATACACTAGGCAAGCACTTTGCACTCTAGTTCCAAGCTACATCTGTATTCCTTTTTTTTTTTGGTACCAGGGATTAAATTCAAGGACACTCAACCACTGAGCCACAACCCCAGCACTTTTTTGTATTTTATTTAGAGACAGGGTCTCACTGAGTTGCTTAGTGCCTTGCTTTTTGCTGAGGCTGGCTTTGAATTTATAATCCTCCTGCCTCAGCCTCCTGAGCCACTGGGATTACAGGTGTATGCCACCAGCCCCGGCCTAGGATTACTCTTGAGTAGCAGATTCCAGGCCCTGACCCAATGCGCCTGGCAGCAGTGATTCTTTTTTTTTAAGAGAGAGAGAGAATTTTTTTAATATTCATTTTTTAGTTTTCGGCGGACACAACATCTTTGTTTGTATGTGGTGCTGAGGATTGAACCCGGGCTGCACGCATGCCAGGCGAGCGAGCGCGCTACTGCTTGAGCCACATCCCCAGCCCGCAACAGTGATTCTTGGTGCCAGTACCGAGTGCTGTTCTTTACTAGTCTGTCTTCCTGCCACTCCATTAGTAGAGAAGGGTTTTGTTATTGTTGTTGGTCTCCCCTTCAATTTCCCTTAGAAATTTAGCCTTTTAGAAGACAAAAAAAAAAGAAGAAGAAGAGAGGACTATAGCAGCAGTAATTGACCCAACTTCAACAGTGAATAAGTATTTGTGGGGTAACAAAGTGATAGATAGAATGCAGGGCTCTATAGAGTGTGACAGGCCTGGGTTTGTGCTGTATCTCCTTTATTTTTCCGGTGTACTGTACTACTCCTGGGCTCCAGGGGGCGAATCTAGAATTCCTTGAGTAATTCAAGAGCATTAGCCCCAGTAGTCAGATCCTTGGAATCTATGATTCTTTGTTTTCTGTTAAAATACACACACACACACAAAAAAAAAAAAAAAAAAAAACCTGCTGCAGAATGCTAATTCTCAGATGATTGAAGTTGCTTAGAAAAGAGGAGGGGGGGAAAGCCAACATTAGCACAGGTTGTGACAAGTTAAAAATACTCACAATACCCTGGGTTCCCAGTTAGTAACTTGAGAATGTAGTTATTTTAATTGAGTTACCAAATATAGCTTCACCTTCCTAAATCTCACTAGCTACACTACATTCATTTGGGGGAACATTGAGGAATGCTTTCTGCTTCCCTTTTTAACTGTGTACTTGAGTATTTTTCCCAGAACAATTTTCTGATGTTAGTTTTTTTGTTCAGATAAATGGTATATCCTCTGGCCCCCATCAGTGGGGGGTTGAACCCAGAGGCAATCTACCACTGTACCACATCCCCAGCACCTTTTATTTTCTGTCTTGAAACAGGGCCTCCTGTATTGCCAAGACCAGCCTCAAACGTGTGATTCTCCTGCCTCAGCCTCCCAAGGGGCTAGGATGACAGGTGAGCTCCCCTGCACCAGCCTATCCTGGCATATTCATGGGTTTTTCCTGCCCTTAGTACTCAATTCCTAAGCTGCCTTTACTCACTTCCATTTTCAAAAAATGAGAAAAAAGTGAAACTTCCTCAAAATCATACTGTCTTCAACTTTTACTGCCTTGACAACTGGACCAATATGTGTGTGAATGATTTTGTCAATTTCTAGACTTTGTATTGTCAGGTTTTCACAGAGGAATGTAAACTGCTATGAACAGAGAAATCAATTGAATTTCTTTAAAAAATATATTTATTTTTTTGTTGTAGTCAGACACAAAACCTTCTTTTTAATCAATTTATGTGGTGCTGAGGATTGAACCTAGGGCCTCACACATGCTAGGCAAGCACTGAGCCACAACCCCAGCCCCATCAATTGAATTTCTTGTTATGGTTCCTACTGGTAGAATATAAGGATTACAGCAAGTGCAGATTAAAGTCTTAGAGTATCTCATTTACATATATAAATGCAATGAATTAAGAGATTACTATGACATTCCTTAAAGAAAAAGATTAAGAGCATTATTATAAGCCACACTTTAAGGAGACCCAGAATCAAAAAAAAATTCAGGGTTTGTAATAGGAGAAAAGGCACAATGGTTTCTTTCTTTCTTTTCTTTTTTTTTAAAGAGAGAGAGAATTTTTTAATATTTATTTTTTAGTTTCCGGCAGACACATCATTTTTGTATGTGGTGCTGAGGATTGAACCCGGGCCGCACGCATGCCAGAGGAGCGCACTACTGCTTGAGCCACATCCCCAGCCCCCACAATGGTTTCTGACTCCAAATGCTGGCTTATATATTCCTGAGTGTTCCTACAGAAATTTTTTTTTTTTTTAAATGGCAATAGGGACAGGAAGGTCAACTTCCAACTCCACTAGAGGCAGAGAGAAAGACAAATCCTTCCATTTGGCTGCCCCCACTTCTAGCATGCTAAGAAGACTCAGTGCTCCTGGAGACTCGGGCCCGGTGGCTTGCCAGCCAGGGTTCAAGCTCTGGGAGGTCTACACCCAAATGTAGCCAGCACCTGTGTTCTGGGTCTTTGGTTCAGATTTGGGTGCTCCCTGGGGATGAATGAGACCAGAGTTACCTGCCTGCACAGCAAGACTTCATCTGGCTCTCCCTTTCACAATGAGAAAGACAACAGCCAGCACACAAAACAACAATGTAATCCCCCACACCCCCACACACACTGTGCCACTAGAGAAGCTCAACCTCTTTCACAGGTGGTGGTGTAGCAGGGTAGAACAGTTTGATTACTTTTTCCAGTGTCTGCTGTTAATACATGAGGCACATCTGTCCTGAGAAGGGATAAATGACTCTTATGGAGAAAATAAATCCTGGAAACTTTCCTCTTTTTCTTTCGTGCTGGGGATCAAAATCAGGTCCTGGGCTGGGGTTGTGGCTCATAGTAGAATGCTTGCCTCGCATGCATGAGACCCTGGGTTTGATCTCCAGCACCACATAAAATAACAACAAATAAAAATAAATATATTATGTCCATCTACAACTAAAAAAAATATTTAAAAAAAATCAGGTCCTACCACAAAGTCACATCCCTAACCTTCCTGCCCACTTCAAGTTCTATGTTGGGGTGCTTAAATACACTTATGTAAAATAGGGAACAAAAAAAGGAATATATACACATATGTGTGTTTGTGTGTGTGTATGTATGTATGTATGTGTGTGTGTGTGTATATATATATATTTTCTACCCCAGTAGGAATTGAACCCAGGGTCACTCTTCCAATAAGCAACATCCCCAGCCCTTATTATTTTTTATTTTGAGACAGGGTCTTACTAAGTTGTTTAGGGTCTCATTAAGTTACTGTGGCTAGCCTTGAACTTGTGATCCTCCTGCTTCAGTCTTCTGAGTCACTGGGATTAAAGGGGTGTACCACCAGACCCAGCTAGAAAAAATAAATTTTAAGAAATGCCAAAAAGTAAAAAGGTAATAGCTTTTTTTAATATTTATTTTTTTAGTTATAGTTGGACACAATACCTTTATCTTATTTATTTATTATTTTCATGTCCTGCTGAGGATCAAACCCAGGGCCTAGCAAATGTTAGGCAAACGCTCTACCGCTGAACCACAACCCCAGCCCTGAAAAAGGTAATAGCTTTTAAAATGATCTTAGTCACTCCTTTTCCTATTTGTCTAAACTGAAATTCAAACACCAAAATTAAACAGTTTAAATGTTTAATTAAATAGTACCATTTTTGTTGAATCACATGTTAAGTTATACATTCCTATAAACAAGTTACCCAAAGAACATTTTCATGATTTTAGAAGATGTGAACTGGGCTGGGGATGTGGCTCAAGCGGTAGCGCGCTCGCCTGGCATGCATGCGGCCCGGGTTCCATCCTCAGCACCACATACAAACAAAGATGTTGTGTCCGCTGGGAAAAAAAAAAAAAACTAAACAATATATATTAAAATTCTCTCTCTCTCTCTAAAAAAAAATAAAAATAAAATAAAATTTAAAAAAAGTTAAAAAAAAGATGTGAACTTGTAGAATTTTCATGATTAAAGTTTAATCTATAAACAAAGGCATTGCCCACAAACTACTGCTTATTTGGCAGTTTAAAATCTTCCTCACAAACAATAGAATTTGCACCACATGAAACTGTTATATGATCTCACAGGAATTTAAATCACTTTAATAAATACAGTTTGCTTATAAATTTCTCTATAATTTATACAGCTTGAATATATTGGTGGTATTGTCACACTATAATGAATAAATTTCTCACATTCTCATTTTGAACTCATGGAACTGACAGGAAAAAGAGGAATTAAATAGCATGCCTGGGTTGGTAGGCTATTCAGAATTCCAAACACAGCTGATAGGTCTAAATCTGTGCCTTTCTATTCTAACCACGTGCCTTTACTGACTTCCATACATACATGGTTTCAAGCATTTGCCTGTTAGGTGTCAGATCCTGGAAATCAAGAAATATGCTTTTTCTTCCTCAAGAACTGATTCTTTAGCCAGGCACAGTGGCACACGCCTGCAATCCCAGCAATTCCAAGACTGAGACAGGAGGCCAGCCTCAGCAACAGTGAGGCTCCAAGCAATTTAGCAACTTAGCAAGACCCTGTCTTTAAAAAAAAAAAAAAGGATATGGCTCAGTGATAAACTGAACATGGTTTAAATCCTCAAATTCTTCCCTCATCCCATCCCCCCCACCCCCACTGGAGATTGAACCCAAATCTTGGCACATTATAGGAAAAGGCTTTACCACTCAGCTGCACCCCCAGCCCTTTATATTTTACTTTGAGAGAGGATCCTTCTAATTTGCCCAGGCTGGCCTCAAACTGACCCTTCCCAAGTAGCTGGAATTACAGGTGTGCACCACTACACCCTGCCCCATCCCTGAATTTTTAATTTTATTTTGAACTTGTATTCTTTTTTTTAATTGCAGCTTTATTTTATTTATTTTTCTTTATTTTTTGGAATACAACTTTTCATTTCTCTGGTTGTATACAAATGAACATGTATTCTTTAATACACAGGTAATGTATATTTACTATAGAAAGACAAATTGCAGCCAAGCAAGAATATAACAAACCTACCTACCTTGAGAAAAAATTACCTTTACAATTTTTTCATTAGTACAAGAACACATACATGGGCTGGGGTTGTGGCTCCGTGGTAGAGTTCTTGCCTAGCACTTATGAGGCACTGGGTTCAATCTTTGGCACAACATAAAAATGAACAAATAAAATAAAGGTATTGTGTTCACCTACAACTAAAAAAATATATATTTTTTAAAAGAACACAAATAGCAAATTGGATCATACCACAAGTAATCTCATGTTTTTCACAGACACTATAGCACGAACATCTTTCCATTTCAATAAATATCTACATCATTCGTCTTCAAAACTGTATAACCAAATGTTTGAATAAAACTTCAGGTTTAGGAATGTAAAAACAAACAAACAAAAGGAACTGTAACAATTCTCAACCACACGTCACTGATTTAATCACTAGACTTATGCAAGGTGGAAGAGCTGACCCAGAGGGACTGTTCTTTTCCCTTCAAACATCCCACTTCCTGGCTGCTGGAAACTGTCACAAATTCTGTGCAAGTTAGCTATTGGCTGGGCTCCTGGGCCCAGGAATGCTGCGCTGCCCTCAACAGTTATGTGAACAGTCCTTCTATGGGCAACAGGCAGCTGCCAGGGCACCTGAATAGTTTTTCACTTAAGCCTCAGCTTCCAGACCTGACCTGAAATTTAGACCCAGAAGCATTCTTAGGGCAAAGTGACAGAGGTTCCGGAATAGAAGAGAAACCCTAAGGGTCTCATTTCAGAGATGGAATACAGTCTCCTCACGAAGAGGCTGTGCTGACCCAGCAGGCAATTAGGATTGACAGATGGCTCCAGGGTGCCTGGCCTGCCCTGGGGCTCAAGGGGGCCGCAGCTGCCTTCAGCAGGAATGTGTTCATTAAGGCCCACCAAGCGGGGCTGGGGGCTGGTAAACTACAAAAATCCAAAATTTCCTCTCCAAAACGTAGAACTGGAGGTTGAATAGGGTCCTCTTGAAACCAGGCATGCATACCTTAAACTAAAGAAAAGGTTTCCAAGGGGGGGGTCACCCCCCCCCCCCCCTTTAGGTTACCGTTCAAAGCGGTACTGTATTTGTGGAAGTGACTAAAATAAGGGAGATCCCTTTCCCCATCATTGCCCACCACCGCTCAGGTGACCATGAGGCGGTGTTTAAGGCACTTCCCTCATCTGACCTTGATCTGTCTCTGGACCCCTAGGGCGTCCTCGCTGAGGAGGCCCTCCCTTGGGAGGGCGACTCTGGAGCCTAGAGTCTACGGGGAAAATAAAGCTACTCCTCCCGGCTGCCTACAGTTAAGGGCTGCGTTGCAGGGTTTGAAACTGGCAGGAACTCGGTGGAGCACATTCCTGAAATCTGGCCCCGGGTCATTTACAAATGCGCCAAGAAAAAAAAGCCACCTAAAACCCTTAGGCTTGCTGGTGCTTGGTCCTGAGTTGTATAAATCCTATCGTTTTAAATCTGCCCTTTGATGGAGTTAACTAGCGATCCTAAGAACTACTGGAACTCAGGAAAACAAAACAACAAAAGGCTTGGGAACGAAGCCTCCCGGGGACCCGCGGGAAGCGCAGTTACGAATGGGCGCCAGAGGGGTGGCCGCAAATCCGGGCGCCGAGCTCGCCTCCGGGATTTTGCTCGGCAGCCAGGGTGGGTGGTGGGCAGGACCCTGAGGTCAGCAACCCCCGCGCGCGCAAGGCCGCCGCAGGAGGCCAGCACTTGCCGCCCGCCGATCCCCGCACGGCGCCGGCGGGAGGCTGCAGGAAGCCCCGGAAGGGCGGAGAGAGGGAGCGGGCGCGGGCGGCGGTGACTCAGCCTGGAGGGCCGGGGGCGGGCGCGGCGCGGAGGTGGCAAGCCCGCGCCGCAAGCCGTCTGCTGACGGGAGGCGTACCGAACCCGGAGGGGTTAACTGGGCGTTGCAATCGGCGTCCCGCCCCCAAGCCCCGCCTACTAAGGCCACCGCGCCCGGCTGTACTTATAGCGGCGGTGCCCAGCGCGTCGCGTCCCTCCGCAGGCCCCGGCCGCGGCATCCCAGAGTCCCGAGGTGAAGGTGCCATGGAGCGGCCGGCGCCCCTGGCCGTGCTCCCTTTCTCGGACCCCGCACACGCCCTGAGCCTGCTGCGCGGCCTGAGCCAGCTCCGCGCAGAGCGCAAGTTCCTGGACGTGACCCTGGAGGCGGCGGGCGGGCGCGACTTCCCAGCGCACCGCGCCGTGCTGGCGGCCGCCAGCCCCTACTTCCGCGCCATGTTCGCTGGGCAGCTGCGCGAGAGCCGCGCAGAACGGGTGCGCCTGCACGGCGTGCCACCCGACATGCTGCAGCTGCTGCTGGACTTCAGCTACACGGGCCGCGTGGCGGTGAGCGGCGACAACGCCGAGCCGCTGCTGCGCGCCGCGGACCTGCTGCAGTTCCCGGCCGTGAAGGAGGCGTGCGGCACCTTCCTGCAGCAGCAGCTCGACCTGGCCAACTGCCTGGACATGCAGGACTTCGCGGAGGCCTTCAGCTGCGCGGGGCTGGCGAGCGCGGCACAGCGCTTCATCCTGCGCCACGTGGGCGAGCTGGGTGCTGAGCAGCTGGAGCGGTTGCCTCTGGCGCGCCTGCTGCGCTACCTGCGCGACGACGGGCTTTGCGTGCCCAAGGAGGAGGCGGCCTACCAGCTGGCTCTGCGCTGGGTGCGCGCGGACCCACCGCGCCGCGCCGCGCACTGGCCACAGCTGCTGGAGGCAGTTCGCCTGCCCTTCGTGCGCCGCTTCTACCTGCTGGCGCACGTCGAGGCTGAGCCGCTGGTGGCGCGCTGCCCACCCTGCCTGCGCCTACTACGCGAGGCGCGCGACTTCCAGGCGGCGCGCTACGACCGCCACGACCGCGGGCCCTGTCCCCGCATGCGCCCGCGCCCCTCTACCGGCCTTGCTGAGATCCTCGTGCTTGTGGGCGGCTGTGACCAGGATTGCGACGAACTGGTCACGGTTGACTGCTATAACCCACAGACGGGCCAGTGGCGCTACTTGGCCGAGTTCCCCGACCACCTGGGCGGGGGCTATAGCATCGTGGCTCTGGGCAATGACATCTATGTGACGGGTGAGTGCGCTGGGGGCTGCCCAGGGGAAGCCCACCACCTTTCCAGGAGACAGCCGCAGAACCTGGACTCGAGGGCCCACCTGAGTCTAAGCCAGAGCCTGGACAACTGCGTTTCTCCAATTACTTTCAACCTAAAATTGCGCCTTACGTGAGCAGAGACAAGTAGCTGCTTGTGGGCCCAGTTCCTGGTGCGGTAGGGCCTGCCTGGCCCGGGAGGTGCCTCCCTCCTGTTTGAAGAGACGGCCATTCACTCACACAATGAATGCTTTCTTTTTCTCTGCAAGGAATGTGGGGACACGCAGGAGGCTAACTCCTGGTGAGGCGCCCGTTCTCCCCAGCCAGGACATTTCTGCCCTGCTGGGCCACCAGGGCCCCCTGACTCCTTGGCTTTATCCCCAGTGACAAGGTTTCTTGGGACTTGCACCTAGCCACGGGGCTGTGGGTCACATGGTGTTTAGGCTGAGCTGGCCTGCCACTGTAAACACCATCACGTGTTCGGTTTTCTTCCAGTTACTTGGCTCAAACCCCAAAACACTGCCGAGTCATGGTGGGCGGACCCCAGCCTGACCCAGTCCTGGGCTTTTACCACGTTTTTTATTAAGGATGAATCCCTTTTCAAACAGGAGGGAGTCTACCCCTTTCTGTGGGGCAAGCAGGGGCGGCCTGTGACTGCTATATAAGGAAAGAAATGACTAGGGCAGGCCTCTGGCGCTGTTATCAGGCAGGGAGGCTCCGGCTGGTTTATCACAGTGGCTGTGCCCCAGCCTGGCACGTTCAGGAGAGAATTTACTCTGAGCCATGCCCCAGCCCAGGGATGTCCTGGGGTCTGACCACGCTTCCTGGCCCGCTGTCTGGCAGCCAGCCGACCCTCTGTTGATATTTGTCAGAATATAGCCCTCTTTCCAATTTGAGGTTGGCCCTTTTTTGTTTGGGGACCATGTCCCCAACTGCCACCCATCTCCATCCCCTCTGAAGTCTGACATGTGGCTTTGAGCAGAGAACTCCCTCCAAGAACTGGCCAGACTTGCCCCAGCTTCTGCATGCCCTTCCACAAATGTCACAGCTGAGCAGCTAATCCTTTGGGTTTCAGGCAGGTGGCTGGGTCATTCCATTCAGCTGGCCTGGCAGTTGGGAATTTCCTGGGGGCCAGGAAGCTGGTTTCAGCTGCCTTCGCCACAGCACCTGGGAGGAAGGTACAGGCCCAGATGGAGCTTTACAAGAATGTCTTCTCCCTTCCAAAGCTCAGGGCTGTGAGACAGAAGGTGTCTCTAATCCTGTCCTGCCTGTGGCACCGGCCTCCGAGGCCAGGGGAGACAGTCCCCAGAATTCCTTAGAAGAGCATACATCATACTTGTACAGATTGACCCATCCCTGTAACCTGCCCCAACACCAGAACCCTGACGCACCCTGATAGCATGATCTTTGGTTAGGTCTCTGGCTCACAGCCTGGGTTTCCTCTCACCTTGTTCTGGCAGAGCCCTGGTTAGAGAGTGCCCAGGAAGGGTAGAATTTGGTGAACAAGCTCTATGCTTTGTGGCCACCCAGGAGAAGGAACCAGATAACCTGTTGGTGTTGGGTGATTCTGTCGGGGATCCTGACAGAGGCTGCCTGCATATTCAGCAGAGTGCCCCAGGGCTTAGGTGTGCACTATGACAGTGGTCCCCACCAAAGCCCAGAGCTTCTGACCTTTGGCCACTTGCATTTCTCAGGTGAAGGCCAATGAGGTTAATTCCTCTCCAGGGAGAGGCCCTGGTAGTTCAGGAAGGCACAGGTAGGTGACTCGCCCCGAGTGAGCTGACCATCTGCCCATTGTGCATCCTGGCAGGCGGTTCGGATGGCTCACGGCTCTACGACTGTGTGTGGAGGTACAACTCCAGTGTGAATGAGTGGACCGAGGTAGCACCCATGCTGAAGGCCCGGGAGTACCACAGCTCCTCTGTGCTGGATGGGCTGCTGTACGTGGTGGCTGCAGATAGCACGGAGCGCTATGACCACACCACTGACTCCTGGGAGGCCCTGCAGCCCATGACCTACCCCATGGACAACTGCTCCACTACGGCCTGCCGTGGCCGTCTCTACGCCATCGGCTCCCTGGCGGGCAAGGAGACTATGGTGATGCAGTGCTACCATCCAGACACCGACCTGTGGTCACTGGTGGACTGTGGTCAGCTTCCACCCTGGTCCTTTGCGCCTAAGACTGTGACTCTGAATGGACTCATGTACTTCGTCAGGTGAGTCCCCACATGCCTGATGCCCTGTGTGTCTGGCGTGTGTGCGTGTGTGTGCACATGCACTACACGCTACTAGGGACTGAGCGTGCTAGGCAAGCACTCTCCCTCTGAGCTGCATCCCCAGATCTTTCTTAACAATTTTTTGAGACAGGGTCTCACTAAGTTAGTTAGGGTCTTATTAAGTTACTGAGGCTGGCCTTGAACTTGCGATCCTCCTGCCTCAGTTTCCCAAGTTGCTGGGATTACAGGTGTATGCCACCATGCCTGGCCTGGTTTTCTTTTCTTTTTGGTACTGGGGATTGAACTTAGGGGCCCTCGACCACTGAGACACATCCCCAGCCCAGTTTTGTATTTTATTTAGAGACAGGGTCTCACAGAGTTACTTAGTGCCTCGTTTTTTTGCTGAGGCTAGCTTTGAACCCGCAATCCTCCTGCCTCAGCCTCCCGAGCTGCTAGGAATCAGGCGTGCACCACTGCACCCAGCTCTGGTTTTCTTAATGGGTGGTGAGTTGGGTTCTTTTAGAAAAAGAGCTGCAGCCCTGGCAGCTCAGAGCAGAGACAGGCAGCCAGTGGGTCACTGGGCATCTGCTAGTCTAGCACATGTGAGCGAAATCACCAGCTCTGTCCACTGGTTACGCCAGATGGCCCTCCTGGCCGCTGAGTGGCCTCCCTGCATGCGCACAGTACTGTGTGTGTGCACGCACACATGGGGTACGTTCCTGCATTTGCTGCTCCCTTTCCTGGCCTAGAGCCTACCTGAAACTGTGGGACCAGGAAGGAAGGAGGGAGCATGAATGACAGTCCCCTTTGCCCCCTTTCCCCCTGGGACTTTGAACAGGGGGTAAATGCCCAAGGCCTGAACAGCACTGGCCTCTGTCTGCTTCACCCTGGAAACAGGAGACTCTCGCTCAAGGTGAGCAACAGAGGGGGAAAGGTGTCCATTGCTGGTCATACAGTGCTCAGGGGCCTGCGTCGACATATGCCAAAGGCCTACTCTGAGAAAGCCCTGGAATCTCAGCCAGGTCTGGTCCTGTTATAAAACTGCCTGACCCTCCTCCCTCCCCGGCATCTTGGAAGTGTCTTCAAAGAGGGGGTGGGGATGGCTATAAATACAACTCTCAGAATGCCAGAAACTTCCCTTCAGCCCCTCGGCAGTGGTTCTAGGCCAAGTGCCTTTGAGAATGTCCTCTCTGTCCTGTGGTCCTAGAACTGGAAGTACCCAAGTGCTGCTCTCTCATGAGACCCACCCGCTTTCCCCTTCCCCTTGCTGGGCCACTCCTGTGGCAACAGGGAGGGCGTGGCCTCTGCCAGCTCTTACTCAGGCTGGGGGCATGTGGGAGGAGGCAGTCCTCAGCCCCGACCCCAGGGTGCGGAACAGGGGGGTGGCCTGCCAGGAGGCTTGGGAGCTGGCCTGGGCCTGAGTAGAGGCTGTGGAAGGAGAAAGAGAAGGACCTGGGGCCCAGGGACTGCGCCCTGTTCCTCCCACCCACTAACACCCTGCTCATATACTTGGGCTCTTCGAGGACCATATAACCCCTTGCCCAAAATGCCACTTATCTCTGGGTAGTGCCTATGGGCCACTTGCCATCCCCACGGAGACAGCCCGTGTTGTGTAGAGGCTGTGGCTCCTCCTCCCTCCTCTGTGACCAGGGGAGGGGGTTCTGCCCTGTGGCTCCTGTCCTGCAGCGGTCCTGTAAAAGGTGGCTGCTTGGTTAGGGTGCAGTGCAAGAGCCAGGGAGCCCCGTCTAGTCCAGCCCCTTCTGTCTGCAGGTCCTGTGTCTCTGCTGGAAAAGGGGGTGAGGGGTGGGGACAGCTGAGCAGGTCCCCATATTTAATGACCATCGTCCTAGGGCCCACAAACTTGAGTGGGTTCCCATTTTGAAACGGTTGGGCCGGGGGTGGGGGGGGGCTCAACACAAGTGTCCTGCTTTGCAGACATGAAAACCCGTATGAAGTTCAAGTTTCTGTCCTGTAGAGTTTAACTGAAGCACAGCCAGCCCTTCTGTTTCAGAACCTCTGTGACTGGTTTTGCATGACAGTGACAGCTTGATACAGAGAGCATCTAAAATATTTGCTGTCTGGCCTTTTTGCTGACCCCCGGCCTTTGTTTTTGTTGTTGTTGTTGTTGTCTGTTTGTTTGTTTAATATTTTTTTAGTTGTAGATGGGCACAGTATCTTTATTTTATTTATTTATTTTTATGTGGTGCTGAGGATGGAACCCCGGGGTCTCGTGCATGCATGCGAGGCCAGCGCTCTCCCGCTGAGCCCAGCCCCAGCCCCTGACCTCTGTTATGAATCCTTACTGCTGCTGTCCAAGGCCATGCTTTCACACCTTCTGTTGTAGGGGTATCAAACAGGGAGGAAGGGTGTTGATGCCCTCATCCCCGTGACTGTATTGGTCCGCCTGGGCACCAAGGATTTAGTCAGCCGTGAATGACAGGCTCAGGCTCACAGTGATGCTGAGGGCAGAGGCCAGTCCAGGACTCAGAAGAGGCCTGGTCTGGCCTAGTCAGCCAGCGAAGACCTTCCCAAAAGCAGGGCTCGGATCAGAATTGGGAGGGTGAGGAGACTGAGGCAGGGTGGGGTGGTTGGGAAGCCCAGGGTGGGAAGGAACTTCAAGATCTAAAAGAGGGGCTGGGATGGTGGCTCAGTGGTGGAGCGCCTGCCTGGCATGCGTGAGGCACTGGGTTCAGTTCTCAGCACCGCGTATAAATAAATAAAGGTCCATCAACAACTAATAAAATATTTTTAAAAAAGAAAGATCTGAAGGAATCTACCAGGACTGTCACAAGGGAGTAGCAGCTGCTTTCTGCTGGCTGGTAGGACTCACCAAAGGGCTGCAGGTATCCCAGGGTGTAATCCCTGGGTTTAGGGAGCAAGACTGGGTTCTAGCCTTGGAGCCTGAAATCACTCTCTAAGACAGTGGGGATGGGGTCTCCCACTGAGAGAGCTGCCATATGGCATCAAAAACTCCCAAGTTGTCCAGGCACAATGGTACACGCCAGCAGCACGTGAGGCTGAGGCAGGAGGATCACGAGTTCAAAGATAGACTCAGCAAAAGCAAGGCCCTAAGCTACTCAGTGAGATCCTGTCTCTAAATAAAATACAAAATTGGGCTGGGATGTGGCTCCGTGGTTGAGTGCCCCTGAGTTTAATCCTCAGTACACCCACCCACCCCCCGCCAAAAAAAAAAAAAAAAAAAAACCTCCAAGTCACAGCTGGGTAGGTGGCACATAGCCTGTAACTTCAGCAAAAGAGAAGGCTGAGGTAGGAGGATGGCGAGTTGGAGGCAACTTAGTGAGACCATCTCAAGATGGTCATAAAAAGGGTTGGGGATGTGGCTCAGTGGTAGAGCACCCTCAGTTCCATCTCCAGTACTAGGAGTGGGATGGGGAACAAAATTCAGTAGAGGAGCCTTGTGGACTCTGTCCCTTGCTACCCTAGGAGCATCCTCCTTGCTCTGACCAGCTGTCTGCCCCCTCCTTCCCTCCACAGGGATGACTCTGCCGAGGTGGACGTGTACAACCCAGTAAAGAACGAGTGGGACAAGATCCCATCTATGAATCAGGTAACTCTGAAGCTGTGCCAGCATTGTGAGCACAGGCCTGTCCTGGGTCTGCAACCCGCGTGTCATTGTGATGAGTCTTGGGGAGCAGCCGTGTGGGTGGGGCTCTGCCCTCTCTGGGAACCATCTCAGTTCAGAGAAGCTTGGTGTCGTCCTGTTTTGCACTTGAGGCTCACCGAGACCGGTGTTAGATAAAATCCCAGGGCCACCGTTTACTGAGTTGGTCCTTTAGACTTGCTGAGTACCTGCTCTGAGCCAGAGAGCAGAAGGAAGTGAGGGAGGGAAACAGGGTCACCTTAGAGGGACAGCAGGTGCACAAGCCCCAGGGCAGGGAGTGCTTGGTGTGTTTATGGGGCGCCAGCAGCTCTGCTAGAGCAGGGTGAGGTCAGACAGGAGGCTTCTGGAGGCCGAGCCTCCCTCAGCTGGTTCTTGAGGCGCTGACCTTAGGATCACATTAATTGGACAACTGCTGTGCGCTCTGATTGGGACACCCAGACTGCTGCCACTCCTGGTCAAGGCGTCCCTTCTTTCTCTACTCGTTAGGAAGAGAAGCACTAAGACTCTGGTGCTGGGAAGGCTCAGTGGCATTGTCCAGGCTTTGGGTCAAGTCCCAGATCTGCCACTATGAGCCACATGAGCCAGTTTCCCTGTCTTAGAGATGGGAAGAAGAGTAGGGCCGGCCCTAGAGGTTCTGTTGCCGAGATGAAGAGAGCGCAAGGAAGTCCTCCTGCGACCTGTACACAGGAGGCGGTGCTGTGGCAGCTGCCCCGGCCACTGTGGAGAGGACCACCTGCCAGGCCTGGGCACTGCATGTGACCCTGGGAGCCCTATTTCCTAGTTGAGGTGTGGAAGGGCATTGGTCTGTCCCAACCGCGTTTCCTGGGGAGTTGGCCGAGGACAGCTCCTGGAACTGCGTCTAGGAAGTGCCCAGGCCACCCCTGGTGAGGGGCTGGTGGGGCACTGCTGATCTCCCCAGGTCCCCAGATACCTTCCTGGCAGAGGGGAGCATGAAGTAGAGGGTCTTCCCTGCCCTGGCTGCCAGCTTCCACTCACCCATCCCCCTTGGCCCACAGGTGCATGTAGGGGGCAGCCTGGCTGTCCTGGGAGGGAAGCTGTACGTGTCCGGGGGATATGACAACACATTTGAGCTCTCCGACGTGGTGGAAGCATATGACCCAGAGGCTCGGGCGTGGAGTGTGGTGGGGCGGCTCCCGGAGCCCACCTTCTGGCATGGCAGCGTCAGCATCTTCCGCCAATTCATGCCCCAGACACCTTTGGGTGGGCGCGGCTTTGACCTGGACAGTGGCAGCAATGACATGGATGCGGGCCGATTTCGGCCACTGCGGAACCCTGAAGAACTGCACTAGCCCTGGCCTGGCCCGGGAGGGCCTTGGTGCAGGGAACCCAGCACCTCGCAGGGGTAGCAGCCCCTCCTTTGTGCCTAAGTCAGGGTGGTCTCACCAGGCAGAGCACGGACTCTTGAGCACTGACTGAAGCCAGGATCCATTGCCTGGAGGATTTCTGTGCACTGGGAACCCAAGTCACGGCTGCTGGGGCCAAGGCCCGTCATGAATGCCCCTCCCATGGTCCAGGAAGAACCCTGCTGGCACACCTGTGGCTCCCAGAGGTCATCCCTACCCCGTGGCTTCCGACTCACCCGTGCGGCACACACACACACTCCCTGCACCGCTTCTCCCACCCTGGGAGCACAGGGCCAAGGGGCTTCCTGTGAGGGTCTGGGAATGGCCCCTGCCTTCCTGCAGGCCCTATCTGGGCCTGTAGCATCAGAAACCAGGAGATGATGGTTGTAGTCGGGTCCCACACTCTGACTAGTGCTGGGTGTCCCAGTGGGCCAGCTCCCCAGATAGAGGGGGTCTGCTCCTCGCCCCTACTGGGATCTCACACCAGAGTGGAGGTGGGCTGTCTCCAGGTGAGACAGGGTCTGGGGACTGAGTCAGAGTAGGAGCCCAGAGGGGTCCAGAGCAGCACACTGAGCTGTTCCCAAGGATACAGTGGGACAGACGCCGGGTGTCCCTGCTCCAGTGGCCTGTGTGTCCTCCTCCAGGGCTTTGTCCTGGCTGGCGGAGGGGAGACTGGAGAAGTGGACTGAAGCCCCCAATTCGAGGTTGTAGCTCCTTGCTGGGAGGCCCTGGGCCTCTGTTGCTGACACTGGCCGAATGGACAGCTGCAAAGCCCTAGCTCGCCCTGAGTCAGTGGTCCTTTTGCTTCTAAGGAAGCCCTGGGTACCGTGGCCTCGGCAGTTGGTTCCAAGTTTGAAATGCAGTTTGACCGTTAAAAGCAGTGGGAGGCAGGTATTCTAGAGACAAGGTCAGGTTTGTTTTGGGGTGGGGGTTGCAGTGTTGAGATCAGGGCTTTGCATGCTAGGCAAGTATTCTGCCACTGAGTCGTGGACCCAGTCCCTGGTCAGTTTTGTTTGGATTTTTTTGGCCAGAGCTTCTGCAGGAATGGGGGCCGCCTGGACCCCTGAGGAGCTCCTGGGAAAACCACAGCTTGGGAAGGCCCCGTTTTTCTGTTGGAAGTGATATGTTTCCAAGGACTGGGGGATTGAGCCCCTTCAGGTAGCCCCCGTGGCCTGTGCTTGGGTCTGTCACTCCCCTCCCTTTGTAGGAAGGGGATCAAGACTCTGCCTCAGGAGGTGGAGGGAAGCAAGGCTCCAGGGCTGCCTTTCCCTGGTGGCCTGGCTGTGCAGCAGGCTCCTGCCAGGAACAGCCTTGGCACCGTCTCTTAGCGAGTGGTACCGAAGACCACTTGCTGGCCAGGTGGCAGGGCTTCTGGGAAGTCCCTGTCTGGCCTGGCCTGCCTGTTCCCTTGTACGGTGTCACTGCTGCAGGTGCCCTCATGTTGGGTTAGAAAGCTGTGTTCTGGAATCCCCCTGGCTGGAGTGGCCGCAGCTCAGAGCTCTTCCTGACCACCGGAAGCCACCACCAGTCATTACTGAGCACTTGCCAGGCAGGCAGCACACCCTGAAGCTCTATGCTGGCTTCGTGCCTTGGCCTCCTCTTCCCCCGCCAAGTAACCCCCTCACTGAGCTCCCCCCTCCTCCGCTCTAGAGCTGTCTCCCCGTGGCCCTCACCTGGCTTCCCTGAGGCTGCTGAGGGGCCCAGGGGTTGTCCTTCCCATGTGAGGTGGCTTGTCTGTCAGCAGAGAAGGCCCCGAGTATGTACTCAGTGCCAGAGTGTGCCCAGTCCACTCTGCCTGGAGACACGGCCACTCCTGTCGCAAGTCATCTTCTGGGATGGAGCCTTCAAGGAAGAGCTCTGGACTCCTGCTCACTGCTGCTTCATGGTGGCTGGCTTACCCCGTTGTCTGGGGCGCCTGTGCAGGAGAGAGGGGGCTTGGTCTGTGTCCCTCTCCTGCCTGGTCCAGAGATACCCAGGTGTCCACCATCAGGAGTGTGGGTTGAGAAAGACCAAGAGTGGTGAAGAGGAGCAGGCCCCTCCCACCCGTGGACCCAGCTGGGGTCCAGCACCAGACCCTCTGTTCCTGCTTTCCCTTTGTCACGGTTCTGGGCTGGGTGGTCCCCACCAGAGGTCTCTACACAGACTTTGGGACAGAGGCTGGGACACCTGGCTATGGGGCTGTCCCCATGTGTTACATGTATAGAACTTTTCTGTCTATAAGACATTAAGTTATAAAAACTAAAGTGACTAGTATTTAATGCTGATCCAGAACATATTCTATATTTATATGACTCAGAGACTCACAGTAAGGAACACCCTCCTTCCAGTCCTGCCCCAGGGGTGGGAACAATTTGCTATTTATTTTTGTCTGATCTCTAGGCTTATGAATGTTGAGAAACCTGTCTAAGGTTTTAGGATGCCTTCGATACTTTTTGAAATAAACCTGTTTCCTATGTCTGGTGTGTCATCGCCTTTATCCTGCTCTGGGGGACCTTTGGCCTGAAGCCAGCAGTGCACAGAACAGGAGCAGAGGGGAGAGTCCCAGTGCCAGGGGTCTGAGGGGTGACTGCCCTTTACAGAGCTTTCCCGGTCATTCCCACTTCAGTTCACAGGAGATCAAGCCAAAGAAAGGAAGGGGCCCGGATGCAGGGGGCAGGGGTGGCTGCATCTCTGATCTCCAGGACTGGCCACCTCCCGTTCCAAAACTCTTCAGCCCTCCTGGGTAGTGCAGAATGGCGGTTGCTCTCTGCAGGATAACTTGGCTTGGGAATACAGAAGCCTTAAAATAGAGGACCTCACACATGTCAGGCCAGTGCTCCACCACTGAGCTCTATCCCCAGCCCTATTTATTTATTTGCTTGCTTATTTATTATTTCCAGCCCTTTTTGAAACAAAATCTCACTAAATCGCCCAAGCTGGCCTCAAACTTGAAATCCTCCTGCCTCAGTTTCCCAAGTTGCTAGGATTACAGGTGTGCACCAACACACCCCTTTCCAGAACAGATGTGAAGTGGTTTATAACCTACATAGGAAAGAGGCAGACCTGGAGTGTAATTACTACACTTGAATACTACCTTTATTACTTCTGAGGTCCCAACGGTCGAGGAATAAAAGGAAAGTGGGCCAAGTACAGTGGCACATGCCTGTGATCCCAGCTACTCAGGAGGCTGAGGCAGGAGAATCACAGGTTGAAGATCAACCTCCACAATATATCAAGGCCATAAGAGGGCTGGGATGTAGGTCAGTGGTAAAGTGCCCCTGGATTCAATCCCAAGTACAAAGATGAAAATAAAGGTAGCTGGGTCTTGAATCTAAAACATTTTTTTTAAATGTTTTTTAGCTGTTGATGTACCTTTTATTATATTCATTTATATGTGATACTGAAAATCAAACCCAGTGCCTAACATATGTGATGCAAGTGCTCTACCACTGAGCCACAACCCAAACCCCATATTTTTTTGAAGCCTATTTTATGTTTATGTGGCACTGAGGATCAACCCCAGTGCCTCCCATGTGCCAGGAAAGCACTCTACTGCCGAGTTCTAACCCAGTACCTCATTTCCCTAGTCTCCGGCTCTAAGAGGTTTGTGTTCCAGGAATCTTCCTGTGATGGGATTTCAGCAGTGCCCAGCTCTGGTCACTGGGGTCATGAGCATTTGAACCAGTGACCTCTGATTCGGACTATTACAGAATAATAGGTAGGGCAGTTTATAAAGGTGTCCACAGATTGTTCGACACCCATCCTGTAAGTGGCCAGGGAGTACATGTCCCCTCCTCTTCAGTCTTGGAGCAGACTGGTGACGGCCTCAAAAAACAGAATGAACACAGGTGAAGCCATGTGACTTCCAGTGCTAGAGCATGAAGGACCCTGTGGCCTTGGCCTTTGGGATGTATGTTTTTGGCACCCAGCCACCAGGCTGTGTGATAGCCCAAGTGGCCAGTGGAGAGGACCCAGCCCATCTGCACCTCTGTGAGACATCTCGAAAGCAGATCCCCTAGCCCCCAGGTACCTTCTGCAGTGGTTTATTATCCAGTGAGCTCTCATTCGATCCTCTGTGAAGGATGTAGCGTGATACTAATCCCATTAAAAGATGGAGACGAAGCAGTAACTTGCCCAGGGTCACAGGGCTATAAAAAGGAGTTGGGAAGAAACTTAACACACGCAATCTATTTGAGCACCTGAGGGCTTGTCTTCCATGGCTCTCAGCCCCCCATGGCTGCAGAACCTGGCCCCTCTCCATTCAAGGCCTGGCCTCTTCTATAACCCAGGCCTCTTAGACCAAGCTAGGGCCCTCCTAAGGGACATGTCCCTCTGTTGGTATGCTGCCAGCCAGGCTGAGCCTGCTTAGCCAGGAGCCTGGCCTTCCTCAGGTCCCCAGGCAAGCTCGGATACTCCTGAATTGGGCCAGTATCTTGGCTCCAGCCAGTGAGGCCGTCATCATGGGCCACCACTCCACAGAAGTTTAGGAATGAATTCTACCTGATGTCACCCCTAAAACAGGAACACTACCAACTCTGGCCAATGCTACCAGCTCTAAAATCCTGAAAGAACAGAGGCCAGGATAAAGAAAAAAAATAAATAAATAAAGGGCAGAAGACAGATGTGGGAAAAACCGAGTCCAAGGGTTTGGCACCCAAGGCTGCCTGCCCCCATGATGTCCTGTTCAGCTGAGGAGCTGAGGACGGGACAGGGCACCAGCAGGGGCACAGGTGAAGAAAGCAGCATTGACTGTCTCCAGGGCATCAGGAAACAGACAGTTGGGCAGGCCAAAACAATCCAGTCCAAAGCCACGTGGTTTATTGGCTGGGACCAAGCAGACAGGGTGGGCTACGTGTCACAGTCCTCTGGAACAGCAGCTGTGATGATGAGTGAGGGCTCCAGGACACCGGGGCCAGCAAAGCTCTCCTCTGCACACAGTCTCTGGCCAGGGAGCTGGGAGGCCAGGCTGCCCTGGGCCAGCGACTCCACGATGACCTCAGCCGAGCCCACTTCCAGCTCTGCAGGTGGCTGGAGGGCCACCACCACCATCTTCTCGTCCTCAATGACCAGGTTGCGGAGCTTGCGCTGCCGTGGGTTGTAGTTCTCCACCCGATCGTGGATTTCCATGTGCCTGCGCAGGTGGGCCTGCGGGGAGTGAGAGCTCAGGGATGGGGGCAGAGCCTGGGGGAGGGAGAGGTGACCCTGGGCGCCCCTGCCACCTACCTGCCGGGTGAACTTGTAGCCACATTCAGTGCACTCGAACTTCCTCACTCCCTTGTGCCGTCTGACGTGCACACGTAACTGTTCCACGGCTGCAGGAGTGACGGGGCCACAGGTATCAGGAGCCGGGGAAACATGGCAGAGATACGCCTGAGATTGCAGGCCAGGATCCCAGGGCCCAGGAGGAAACCCAGCAGGAGGCCCTGGGCAAGGGTCCCCCCACTACTTGGGGCCAGGCCCTGCCAGGCTCTACAACACCTCCCTGAGGTCACAACTGACCAGGCCCCTGGGGAGCCCCAGCCCCACTTGCACTGTCAGCAGCTCCACTCGCCCCTGTAGGCACTTGAAGACAGAAGATGTCTGCTGGCAGGGAGGCTCAGCAGCTGAGGAGCGTCGCTAGGCCTCTGCTGCCCCCCACCTCTATGGACACCCTCCCACTTGGGTCAGCAAGAAACAGATGGCCCAGCCTTGGGCACCCCCAAGTACCTTTGAAGGTCTTGCCACAGATCTGGCAGAAGTGGGGCCGGCCCTCCTGGTGGCGGCTGGCCACGTGCCTCAGGAGGGGCCCCTTCTCGGTGAAGCGCTGCTCACAGAACTCACAGCTGAAGGGCCTCTCACCTGTGTGAGTGCGGTTGTGCTTGTCCAGGCTGGCTGTGGGGACAAGGCAGGGGCTCAGCACTGGCCTTAGCCCCAAGACAAGGAGGTGATGGGCCTGCCTCACCTTGGGTGCGGAAGGTCTTGCCACACAGATGGCACTGGAAGGGCTTCTCGCCCGTGTGCGTGCGCAGGTGCATGTTGAGGTTGGCCTTCTGAGTGAAGGCGTGGCTACAGAGCTCGCAGACATATGGCCGCTCATTCCTGTTTGGGTAGGGAGACAAGGCAAGGCCATCACAGAGGGAAGAGGCCCCCCTCACCCTGCTCCAGCTAGGATATGCTGAGCAGGAGGGCTTGGGTGGTACAGGAAAGGGACACCACCACTGTCCAACCGAAAGGAGTCTATGGAAGGGACTGGGGGTGTAGCTCAGTTGGTAGAGCGCTTGTCTCGCAAGCCCAAGGCCCTGGGTTCAATCCCCAGCACCAAAAAAAAAAAAAAAAAAAAGGAAAGAAAAAAAAGGAGTCTATGGAGCAGGGAGTCAGTCACAAGAAACTAAAAATTTGCCCCAAGAGATACAGTGCCTCGTCTTGGCCTGAAGCCCCTCCCCAGCTCCGGCACCTTAGCAAGCTCTTGCTTGTCCCACAGGTCCCCAACCCCAGAAAGACTGCAGGCACTGGACTCAGGACAGAAGCACACACATCCCTGTGAATGTAAGCAAATGCTACCTTCCTGGCCCAGCTGCAGGCAGCAGGGCCAGACCCCAGGAGAAGATGGGCTGACCCACACCTGTGCTTGGCCTTGATATGCATCTGCAGTCCATTGCGGCTTGAGGCCCGGTGCCCGCACTCCTCGCACACAAATAGCTTCTCCCCACGGTGCTTGAAAGCCTCATGCAGCTGCAGCTCTGTCCGTGACAGGAAGCACTTGGCACAGGTAGGACACTGTGGGGTAAGAGGGACAGCAGAGCGCCCAGGACCAGGTGAGAACAGCATGGGGCTGCCTAGGATCCCCACAGGCCCCCCAACTTTGTATGGCCACAGCTGCCATGCTTCTGCTCATCCCACCTCAGAGAATGCTGGGCCCAGCCCGGTCTTGACACTTACTGCATGGGGCTTGGGGGCTCCGTGCAGCTTGATCATGTGGCTCTGCAAGTCCTTCTTCTGCATGAACTGCTGGGAGCAGGAGGAACACTGGAAAACAGGCCCACAGTCAACTCCAGGGCAGCCTGCACCAAGGGAACCCTGGCCATTGGGTAGGATGATATGGACAGGGCCCAGTCCAAGATCAAGGAGGGTCCCTGATCTGGCGTGAAAGATGGATTGAGGGGAAGGAAGCTGTCATGAGCTGCCCATGCCATGCCCCCTATGGAAAGAGACAGGCCCAAAAAGACCCTGGAGGTGAGACTGTGGCCAGGGGCACCACCCACAGATGGAGGTCAGTGGATGGGGAGAGAAGGTAGGCTTCTGAACCCATGTCAAGGGGTAGGCCTCTGGGAGGATAAGGGCACCAGGCAAAGGCTCAGCAGGAAGGATCCTGGGGCCAGCACCCACCCCACCCAGGCCCTCAGCTCTGGGAACAGACTGAGCCTGACCTTGTAAGGCATCTCCCCAGTGTGGGACACCATGTGCACCCGCAGCTCCATCCTCCGGCGAAAGGTCTCCT